GAGGGGGGGGGTGGGGGGGGGGGGGGAAGTGAGCAAAAAAGCTCAACATAGTTACCGCACAATAATGCAATGGAGAACCAAAAAGGAAGATGTGACCAAGTGCAGAAGCTTTTCAGTGGAAGAACGTTTTGACACCTCAGGAACTACAAGTCACCGGATTGGTCTTCTACATACCAGCAAGTAGGTGGCAGCCAAACCAGGAAACTGTTGCAGGCCATTAGTCGTTTTGAAGAAAATCTTATGCTGTACACCTGGGTAAGATGCCAATTCTAACCCAAGAGAATTGTCAGAGAAGCAGTTTGAGCAATGCTTACACATTACTTAGGCCTTGCCCCAGTCACAACCCTCTTCTCCCAAGGACAAGGGGCACTATTCTAAAACAAAAGACATACAAAATCTAGAGCATTTGTAAACTGCTTACAACCTGATCCTCTATCAAGCTATGGAGCTGTCCCTCAAATTCATCTCAGGTGCTAAGTATTCCCACTAATAGGCTGCTTAAATTTCTCTGTGCAGTTTACCTGGCCAGTGCAGCCCAAGCTGCATCAAATGCAGAGAAGCTTCATACCCCAGTAGACAAACAGAAGATAGGTGTCGTTTCCTTTTTTAGTTTAGCTTGGCAGGGCAGGGAAGACATGATGTTAATTACTTGACTGTAACAGGGCTTGTTTCTGCAGGAAAGTCCTTAGATGACTATATGGAACTTTCTCGTTACCAGCTTTTAAAAAAAAAAAAAATACTAGATCAAGGTACAAATGATGGCTAGAAACATACACAGATGCTTTATTTACCTTCCCTCTTGTTACAGATTTGACTTAAAACGTTTGTCAGCAACAATACTGCAGCTACATAAGAATTTTATATATAATCCACAACTTCCACCCCTAGTATCATTTCATTATTGCCATCTGAAGAGCTACTGTTTGCACAGCCACCATCACATTACGGTAGAGGCAATAAGTATTTTCTAAAAGCATTTAAGGAATTTGTGTAAAATAAGAGTTCAATACAGTTGAAGACTAATCAACTATGATTAACTATAAGCTTTTTTTATTAGATGGAATCAGTGACCAAAGAATTCAAATAATCCACGGGCCTTCGAGGCGTTCAGCATACTGGACAGTTGCTACACTTTTGCTATGCTCTTGCAGTGTTTGTAGCATATAAAACACTACTCTGTATCAAACCACTTCAGTTTTCAGGCTGACCTCTTCAAATAATTTATTCATATATCTAGAAGGAAGAGGAATATATTGCAGTATAAGAACAGCTCTCTGGTCAGCTGAAAATGTTATGTAAGTGTTTGGAAAACAACCCCAGTTATGAGTGCAAACCCATATAATATCTGAGGCAAGAGATTACTTTTTAATTGGATTGCACTGGTATTTTTTTTCTTCTATACCTTGGATGAATACATCCATTAAAAAGCCAAAACTGCACTGAATAGGGGATGGCCAAAGGGAATCTCTCGATACATTGAACTACACAAAATGCTGTTCTAAATTAGATAAAACTTAGCCTAAAGTTTTATACCCTTCTCCAACAGCTTCTAACATACAGAAGTCCCTAAGACAAAGATCAAGGCACTAGATCTGAAATACAGCTTCTTTTAGTTCTGTGCACTGACAAGCAGAACAGTAAACAACATGCCAGCAACCATGAAGGCAATAACAAAATCCAATTATCAGTTAGCTTTTTCAGACATAGCTTTAAATTGTTTCTGGATGCAAAACATACTACATTTTTACCAGCCAACATCAGAACTGGAAGACAGTAATCTTCTTGGGCTTGTATTTCCCGAGATTAGTCTTACCTGAATGCAGGAACCTGATGCAGAAAAGTTATTATTCCAATATCCTTCCACCCATAGCAGTAAGAGTGCTTCTGACATAATTAAGACTTTCTTGAAAAAAAGATAGTTCCAGAGGAGAGAGGACTATGCAGCTCAAACCTCTCCCACAGGAACCACAACCTCTGCCATGACTGTTTGTAAATCACCCCAATCAGAAGACTCACCTGTGTCTGCAGCCAGCCTTAAAGAATTAGCATCATGTCTTACACAGGGCATATTGATTACACAGGGCATATTGATTTCATTTGCAAAATAAAGTTTAAAGATTTCCCCAAAGCACGACAATATAAACATGAATTTCAAGTGCTTTTGTACCATGACTAATGTAGAATCAAATCTCAGTTTTTTAAGAGTCTTTATTGTTCTGGAGACAGACAAAAATGTTTTGAAAGGGCTTAGGACATACTGCAGAAACAAAGCAGTACTTAATGGCTTGTTCTCCCTTTCCGGTGCCAGATACACATCCCTGTTTGTTAGAGCCCACATTATTCTAACTGCATAGTCATAATACATATACCAATTTGACACACTCCATAAATTTGTCCAAGTAAGCACTCTTTTTTTGACAAGTGGAAAATTTGCATCAGCAAGTATTGTCAGCTCTAGTAGGCAGCATCCTGAAGCAAGTCGTTTCTCAGTAAAAATTATTATTACTGGACTGTGTCTTGGCTCTCGTCCAAATGCCACCGCAATCGCTCAGAATCTCAGCATGCTTTAGATAAGTTCCTATAATCATATCATGTCATACAATCATAGGATCACAGGATAATGCTGTTAGAAAGGAAGCTCAACAGGTCTCCAGTCTGCAGCCGCCTGCTCAAAGCAAGGGTAGCGAGGTCAGACGTGTCTTGGCTCTCGTCCAAATGCCACCGCAATCGCTCAGAATCTCAGCATGCTTTAGATAAGTTCCTATAATCATATCATGTCATACAATCATAGGATCACAGGATAATGCTGTTAGAAAGGAAGCTCAACAGGTCTCCAGTCTGCAGCCGCCTGCTCAAAGCAAGGGTAGCTGTGAGGTCAGACCAGGCTGCTCAGGGCTTTCTCTAGTTGTAGGGATGAAAAGTACAATCTAATCCTTACCTCTATCCCAGGGCAGATCAGCTAAGCTATTGCTGGCATATTCGTGTAACATAACCTTGAATTAGAAGATGACATAGAGAAAAGAGTTCTAGCTTCTTCACGTTTTCATTGTTGGTCATTTTAATCAAGACTCCTGGTAATTCATGTTTTTCTCCTTTGGGCTGTCTCTCAACTGTTCAAATTTTTTGACTCAGTGGACAACACATAGAAATAACCTGCTTACCAAGAGGAAAAAAAGGAAACTCAGTCCATAACCTTGATTTCTATAGGTGAATTTCCTAAAGGAAGTATATTTTGGATTTTTCTGAGCAACTGCAGAAAAGGGTTATTTTCTCCACAGGAAGACATAAAATTCAATTAGGTTTCTTTATTAAACATAATAATGTATGCTTATAAAATGGCAGTGTGGATGCATATTTCATAAATTGTATTCTCACTTTCTCACTTCAGCTCCGGCTGAAGTATTTTGTATTTATGTGATTGACATTTTGATTCCCACATGCATCTGAGAAGCTTCCTGCAAAGCTACAGGTACTTTTTTCTAGCTATTCAGTTAATCCAGCCAGTTGGCCCGCTCAGTAATTACTGTAAAGGTGTCTTAATTCTTATTGGGAGTAGCAGATAATTTATATTCTTGATTGGACATAAATCTGGAAAGTAATTTACTTAAACATTTTGACTGAAACTTTTAGCTTGCAAGGTTATTAAGCATCATCTTATTTTTTCCTTAGCTATGAGGATATTTTGTACATGGCTGAGTACCCCAAAACAGAATTTAATATGTTCCTGTCAAAACACTCCATCAGCATTTAATTTTCCTCTTGTTTATTATATCTCCATTATAACAACTAAGTGGTATCATGTGTGTGAGGTGTTCTTTGTATACATCACTACAGCGAGTAACAGCAGCTGCATGTACTAATAGAGATCGGGCAAATCCTAATATTAGATTTTCTGAAAAAAAGCAGTTTCCATCCATATTTCTATCACTAATTCACCAGCATAGGATATCATGTTTGCTTTCTTCTTCAGTCATATTGAAATGCCATCTGAGTAAATGTAGTGGTACATAGACTGATTACATCTGAGCAATATAAAATTAAAATATTAACTTATTATTACTTGTAAATGAAAAATTGTTTCATTGCACCTTCGTGGCTTTTTCTTCAGTATAGTTGATATGATCTCTTGCCATATTTTAAAACAGTATAAGAATTAATTGGCGTCTCATCCAAAACAAAGTAAGGTACCAAGCAGTATTCAGTCAACAGAGAAAGCCTGCTTGATGGAAGAAAAATCCTTTGAATGCAGCCTAATACAAAAACTATACACCTGATTCAGGATGTCCCTGAACCTTGAAAGTTATCACTACATAGATGCTCTGTTTCTAAGAAAATATCTGCTGTTTTGTCCATTGTCAAAGAAAGAAAGGACTCCCCACTATGGGCCTTTCTGTTCTGTCTGACATGTATGGTTCTTCTTTTGCAGTGTTTCCCAGTAGAATATATGCTTATTTGTCCAAATGTGATGAGATGTAATTATATTATTGTATAGACAAGGAGAAAATAGGACATTGTATATGTTAAACAATGAATGACTAGGTGGAGGTACTATCTGTATTCCCTTTGCATTAAGACAGAGCCCAACATAAACATCTTCCAAATGAATATATTTTATCGTTACAATTTTTGAAGCCAGCTCTCCAGAAAAGACATAGCCAGTTCCTGAACAAAAAGGCGGGTGTTTGTCACCTGGCTATTCTTCTTCAGATATGTACCATTTACTTTTTTTATTCCAAATAGGCTTATGCCCTTTCATAAAACAGCCTGTGAAATAATTTTGTGGAGGAGGTGAAAGAGGCCTGAGGAGCTTTTGTAGTAGGTACATTGTATTAACAAAACCATCACTGTCTGCCTTCATAACAAAGCTTGCACCACTGCAATAAGAGGCAACCCACTTCATGCCCATCAAAGTTTTAAGAGTTAAGTTATGATAAGTGTCCGGGAAGTCCTGTTGAATAATACCATGATATTGCTCGCTTTCTCTCAGTAGGACCTCATTTGGACCCTTGCTCTCAATGCCCAGCATAAACAACTGAACAACCTCAACTCCTGGATTTATTTCCCCAAGTTTTTCTGATGGAACTTCTGTGCTGAATTTCAGCAGCTCTAGTTGCTATTAGCAGTATCAAGAAAGGTGTTTTATCTTTACACTTCTCTTTTTCATTAATAATGAACTTAAATGACCGTATTGAAGTGGATCTGTTTTTATTCCCAGATTTCTTATTTTCAGCTGGTAGATCTCCATTTTCATTCCATAAGAATTGTTTGAATTTTGAAATAATGTTTTTTATGTAAAATATTTTCACTTTCCATCTGAAGATTATCATACCTTTTGGTAAAAAGCATGTCTTTTTCTTCTATGTCATCATTGTTTGGAACTTTACTTTCAGTTAGAACAGCAAGGTGATCAGAATTCAAAAAACAGAAAATCAAATATATTGCTGTAAAAGAGGGGGAGGCAATCAGGAAAACATTTCTCTTGGTGCAATCCCAAGGAGAGGAGAAGAATCCACTACAGTAGGTCATGTTGGCAGCTTTGAGAGGATGACAAAAAGCTATTTCTTAATTGGACAGATATTTTGTCAGAAGAGCAGTTAATTTGTAATTGTTTTCCTCAGTGACACAGGAAGATAAAAGCAATCTGCAGGCTTCTGATTCTTCAGGATTCTTTTTTTCTCTATTAAAAGTATCCCGTTAATTCATCTTAGAATAAATTGTAAAAATTCTCATAGAAGCCAAAAAAAAATCTTTAAAAAAATTCATTATTTCATTTTCAGGCTTTACTTCCTAATAGAAATATAGTATGATAAATACAGTAAGAGATAAATAAAACAAAATAAATACAGTATAAAAATAATAATTTTCTCAGAACAGAACTTATTCAGATATATATTTAGATATTGGAATATATGTAAAATATAAATGTGAATTTAATCCAATATTACAATCAATCTTTTAATTTTTATATATATATATGCAAAATAACTGTTAATGTTTCAATACGGTTGTCTTTCTTTACTAATAGCAGGGTACTGAACTCATAAGAGGTATGGTAGAATGTAGAATACATATTCTATTTCAAATGCACACATTTATTAAAACACGCTAAAAAGATACACATTTAAAGTAAAGATTTTAATCGCTATTCCAATTGCTACAACACTCCCTTCTAGGTTATAAAAATAGAAGAAAGCTAGCTTAACTTCATGTAAGCTTTACAAAATGTTATTGCATAATTAAATAATCCAAAGCTAATGAAAGATTATGATTGATTATGGATTCACAGCCTTGGAGACTATTGTGATAAATCACTTGGCAGGTACCTTTGGCCATTTAAAGGTTAGATACACGGTTGGAAGTGATTGTCTAGGCTATATAAAACGTTACTGCAGACAGAGAGGTAGCATTTCCAGAGGTGAACTTAGCCATCAAAAGACAGGTGTCTTACATGAGATGAAGTGACCCGTGCCAGCATCTACCTCTGTAAAGAATACTTAAGACAACTGTCTTAGGCTAGATCCATACATTTTAAATGGCTCCAACTGAATGAGTTGAATCCCATCCTTCCAGACTGCAAGGACAGGTAGAATATAAATACTGGAACAATGAAAATACTGTAGCATTGGGTATTTTTTTGTGATTTCCATAATAGCTAGTTTCAAATTCTGGCTTCCTTCAACTACATGATACAGAAATTTATCTAAGCCTTGGAGATGCACCACAGTTTGCAGGGAGAGGGAGATAATGACATGTATCCAACACACCACAAACTGGTAACACCCAAGAATGCTATCTGGAAGAAAGTGCAAGTTAATTGTATTAAACTGCTTTTTACAAACTGGTCTCTGAAGGGTTCTCTACATGTATTCCAAAGTGCAAAAGTATAGTAAGTCAGGGTTTTTCAAATCTTTTGTGCCAAAATACTACGTGACAGATGCAACATGTAGGTCACAATCAAAGAGCAAAATTCAACACTTCTTACCATCATCTTTGAAAGTGCAGATTCATCCCAGTCATACAACCATGGTATTTTTGGAACAGATTCTTCAGTAGTTTCTTGCGGCTTCACAAAGAAATGACAGATTTAGAAGGACTGAAATAGAGTCAGGGAACCTATCTCTGCACCCATGGAGAACCTGAGGACAAGCTGAGAACCTGAGGTTCTGTCCTAAGTCTTTTCCAGAAGAATTATGAATTAACATAAAGGAAAATGCACCAGGACATTCACCATTCTATTTGAAAGGGAGTTCTTTAGAAACTGTATTTTGACATATTAAGATTTTAAATATCCAGAACCAAAGTAAATATAAAGCAATATAAGAAAGAACGTAGGCAGCACTTCAGAAGGTGAGAGGCATTTCTGTATCCACTAATTGCTTTGCTACTATTTGAAATGTGAGAACTTCAGTACATGAAAATATGAGCGCGAAGGTAATTTTCAATGTTATAAGTGTAGTTCTGCATGGCAATTTTCTTCATTAAACTAAAAGCATTTTGTCAAAGTCTTTTTTGACTTCTGTTGGTTTTAACAGTGCAATTCTATTAGATGAAATCCTGGTTCCATTGTGGAAAGAACAGGAACTTCTAAGAAGACTTTTCTAACAGGCAGCTAGAATATTTATTGTTTCAAGTTTGATAGAGTTATTACAAGATTAGCAGAGAATTCATGTTGCAGAAAAGCAAACAGTACATATGCCCAAAAAATCAATTGTAGTTTATCTTGCTTACAACTTATAAAAATGCCAAGAAGCTCTCAAAATACAATTCTTTTCTATTAAAATTCTTCCCAGAAAAAAAAAGAAACATACTTTGAAAATAAATTCTTACCCACAATAATTACCCATACTATTAAACCAAAGCAATTAAATTCATGAAGATTATTTTTCTAAAACCAACCATGTAGCAAAGCTGGAATAATAGCTGCCACGTACATTAAGTTGCCTCAGTGACACACTGATTATTCACATACACACGCATTTAACTACATTCAGAATTTAACATTACATCAGATATGCTGAAAGAAGCCAGAATTAGGCTATATTAAAATAATAAAAAGTAAGAAGAAGAATAGAAAGGAGTAAAGAAAAACAGAAAAGGAATTAGAAAAAAAGAAAGGAGATTAATATGGTACTTTTTGTTGCTGCTGCTGTTTATGTTATCTTTTTGTTATTTATAAAAGACAGACTTGACAGCTCTTGAGTGAAAATCTACCTCACCAGGTTCTAATTCTACCCTATCTCATCCCAGATTCTTGGAAGAATTTCAAAATAAGACAAACAAACCCATCACATTCTAGCAATGCTTTGATATTTTCCCAGCTTCTTGAAGTAGTAAGTTTTAAAGTCCAGTCCTTTCAAGGTGGTCACACAAATGGCAAATTTCAAAGTAATCTTTTGAGAAAATTATACGTGTTTGAAGATGCAAACTAAAGGCTGCCTGAGAGCAAGAGATAGCTAATTTAATTTAAAATTGCCAGTTAGTAAACAGATCACCGCATCTTTTGACTACTTTGTTTCAGTTTAGTTAAGCTGACTTTAGTTGAATTGACTAAACATACATACAAGGACAAGCTGGGAAGCAAGAGAAGAGCAGGAGATACCCCCACCTAAAATACAGGCAGCCTCTCCTGGAGAGTGGCTTTGCTCAGTGCTTTGGCATCTCCTTGCAGTTCTTCTGGCTCAGCAGAGAAAGCAGTCTTTTGTGAAGACTAGATTGCAAAAAGTCCCAATCCCCACCTCCTGCTTGATCTGTAAGAAGTCCCAGGGATGACCATAGATTTAGTGAGATGAATCCATAGCCATTTCACCCCTCTTTTTTGAAACCTGTATTTCTTTTCAAACCTATGTACCACAATATTTGGAGGATTAATTTGGGCATCTCAGTGACACTCGGTCTCAGTGGTTATAAAGGGAAGCAGGGATATTGCAGTTTCTGTCTTTGAAGCAAGCTACTAATTTATTCTTGGGTTACCGGTGGAAAAAAGCTTTCTTAAAGGCACACAAGGACCAGAAAGTTAGTTCTACTCCCTTTTACCAGCACCATCTGGCCTCCCAGAGAACCCAGGCAATTCTGCTATCATTTACACATATAAACTCATCCAAATGCGTACTGCTGAGGCTTGAGTTGAATTGGTGGTGGAGAGAAGGAAGTGAGGAGGAAAAAAATTTTGTCTTGGTATGTATTGTTGGAAAGATCTGCACTCAGTTATTTCAAAATTTGAAATAAGGTTTTATTTTGCATAGATTACTTGGTATGTATATCTTCAAAACCACTTTCTCTTACAATGATTACAGCAATTTGAACAGCAAATGGCTTAATAAACTGTGAAGGGAATTAAGCACTTTAAAGAAAACACTGAAACACTGAAGAAGTATGTTAGTAACACTATAAAGTATTTAATGAGCATATGGCATCAATTTAAGAGACATATGAAGTATTTATTTTCTAGTGTTCTGTAAAATCTTTGTATATGTACTTTTCTGATTTAAATTATGCCTAGACTGAGTTAATCTCAAAAAAATGCTACTTCTGCACAGAAACAATATTTACTTTTTTTCACTGGAATGTTTGTAAAACTTTTTTTTTTTTTTAAACCAGGGATATGTGAAAAACTGAAGAAGAATTTTAGGTACTCTTTTTTTTTTTACAGAAGTGCACTAAGGGTCTTAAAGGAGAATTTGCTTGTTTGTTTGTCTCTAGTTAGCTGCTATATCAATTTTTCTTAAAGTACACATGGAAGTGTGGATGCTAAATATTTAATCAGATACAAACAGTACAATTCCCTGTTTTTATGAAAACAAAGTGCAAGTCTTAAATGTAAAAATTTGTCATGGTACAAAAAGAGAACATACTGCATGTGTGGAGCCAAGAATTTTTTGTTAGTCTAACAAAACTGTCCAATCAAAAAATGGTTACTAGTTTAATTTAATTATTACAACAAGAGGCAGGGGGAGGGCAGGGGGAGGCAGTGGGAAGTAGTTCTACACACAGTCCCTGGTATCTCCCCCTTTTCTCTCATGTCATTCTCACCTTTTTTAAATGCCCCTCTGGTGGGGTCATATGAGTCAGTGGTGCCAGATTTTCTCAAGAAGGAGGTGGAGGAGGAGAGGGGGTTATGGCAAATTGTCAATGCCCCACATCCTCTACCAGAAAGAACATCCTGATCTTGATGGAAGTGTCTTCCCTACACAAGAATCCACTAGTGATAATTTCCATTAGTGCTTTCTAATACACCACTTCCCTCTTTCTTCATTGATTCTCAGTTCCACATGAAACCTGATTTTATTATGCATGTTGTGTTTACATGAGATATTTCCTCTTTGTTCTC